AGATTAGGTATTTATGCACTGTAAAGAAACTTGCGTGGTCTAGGTCTACAAAGCATATGTGACAAAGTCTGGAAATCAACAGCTGCAAAGAAGCTGGAATTCAGCAGTGGGAGAATTATAATTCACAAATATTTACTTTATAACTCTGGAATAACATCAAATACTTTGGTTTAAAATGAATATATAATATTATTTCTTTTGTATTAATCAAAATATCAATCAAAATGCTTTTCAACTTAACAAATATTAGTTGTCTTTGTAATTTTTTTAATCAGAACCATGCTACATTTTAAATCTGTCAGTCACTGTAATCTAATTTTACAAAAAATGTTTAGGTTTTAACTTTATAGTGACCCTTCTGATTAGAATAAATTATAGCTATGATATTAATATAACCACAAGTTGGCATTTCACAATTTGTGAAGTAATTTTGAATGTCCAATATTTTGCTTTTCCATTTTTAATTACTTTTGTTGCATTTACCTGTCACAGCTAGAATTTTTCATCTTTCTTTGTTAAATATTCTTCTATAGGCAGATTCTTGGTCATTCAATAACTCCTAACTCAAATAAATGAAGTAAAGGGTGGAAATTAACATCGACCATCAAGGTAATTATACTGCATTTTTTCACTTAGAGAATGAAAGGCAAACAGATAAGGAGGAGAAGAAATATTCACAGGGTAAGAAAGATGAAGAAAATTATTAGAATGAATAAAAATCATGAATAGAGTTAATGGAAAAAAGTAATAGTGATGAATCTCAATAAAGTGCTTATTCCCTTTCTTTCTCTCTTGTCCTGCTCCTTTGGTCAAGGGACTGTTGCCTAGCTTAACCTTTTGGATGATCTAAGATTTACTATTATTTTAATCATAAGCACACTACACTGCATGTTCCCCTTGCCACAAGGTTACAGAAAATGTGTTTTGATATTGTACTGCAAGTACTTCTATTGACAACATCAAAAAACTAGCAGTTTCGCAAACAAAGGTCAAATACTACAACATGCAGCTGTAAAATTGGGGTAGGTACATAGTATAGTTATCATCTCATTTAAAATAATAACGGTGGGCAGAGGGATTCTCATCTAATAGAGAATACATGATTCTTCCATATAGTTGGCATAATAGTTCTTTGTAGCTCTAGAAGCATCAGAAGTACACAGCTCACATATTTCTTGATAGTGACCTCTTCTGAATTTCTCTCTCTCAAAAGAGGGGATATAACCCAGAGGGTAACCTTCATATTGCCAGATATCAAGGAAGTTGCAACCTACAAGAGTAAGTTATCATGTTCTCCAGTCTCACTCAGAATCAAGGGGCAAGAATCAACCTAACTTTCCTATGCTAATAAAACTCTGCAGCAGTTCTTGAACATATTGTAAATCAGCATTAAAGAAAAACATGTTTTGATTTTAAAGTTTGAAAAACTGCTATATGAGCATTTAAAAACAATGAGGAAATTAATGACTGTGCAAATTTTTAGTACATTCCTCCTGTGGTTGTTCTTAGCTCTTTAGGAAAACGCAGCTGCCTACTAAATCTGAAGAAGAGCATTTCAGATTGTCTCCTCTACATAAATCCCTACAAAGGCAGAGCAAGGAACTGCTGCTCTGGATTATTCCATTGCTGACAAAGGCACTTCAGGTTTCTCAGTCAACATTCTGAATGGTCACTCAGATGCAGAAAAGCTGTCAAAAACTGGTTTGCTTTCTAACAGTCAATAGCTGAAATAAGGCCACTGCCTTAGAAACATAAGACACTTCTTATTACAAGAAGTGTAATCCAAGAAACAGAAGTATGCCTTCCTCAGTCTTTTATGCCTGGTCCATCATATTCTTGCAATTTTTGTTACCTCTTTTAGAAGCAAAATACTGGAGAAGACAATCTTAGATCTTAAGATAGTTATGTTGCATTTAATTTCCTCCAATGATACAGTCATAGCCCTAAATCCCTATATAATTTCATTACAAAAAGTTTGTTAACACAGTGATGTCATGATAATTTTTTTTTTTTTTTACACTAAAACTTTTAGAGCCCATTGTAATATTTCATGATTATCTCAGACCTGCCTCATTTTGTTGGATTTCCAACTAGAATATTAGAAATATTATCTTCCAAATACACTGTAAGAGAAAATCCAGATCAAAAACATCTCACTTGGTAAAATAAGCCACTTGAAAGTGTAATAAATCCGTGAGTTTGTAGAAGATATCTGGAGTTTTAAATCATGTAAAACAGGCTGGTAATTGCTCAAGTGAGAGTTGTTGAAATAGTGTCACACTTCATTCTTTTTTAGATACCTGAGAGCATGGCAATCATTGTTCCAAGGGCTGAAGTTGTATGAATCTACTGAGCATTAGGCTTCCCAGATTCTGCTACCTGATACGTTTCACACTCAGCATACAACTCATGTGAAAGGACTACTTAAATCCGCAGAATAAGATATGAGATCAATGGTGTGAACAGTATCAATAGAAGAAAAGTGTTTAGATCTTAACTTCCTCCCTAAAGCATAGCCACAGGGGAATTAATGAATTTTAAAAGGAGTTAATTTTTCCTAACTAATCTTTATGCTTTGACATACACTGTTTAACACAACTGAAGAGCAGCTACCTCCAAGAAAGCTGGTATTCACACTGCTGATCCAAACAGTGAGCAAAGACAGCTTTGGCTACAAGATGCAGCAGATTCCACTGAGATTACAAACACACAGCATGCATTAAATGAGTTTTCAAAGAGCTGCGACATTTTAGCAGAGAAGGTTTGGTTATTAAAATCCTAACATGCAAAGGACATTGTATGGTATTCTAAATTTCTTTTTCAACATTAAATTATCATTGAATAACAGTTCAGACTACATAGATAGTTCAGACTACATAGATAAGTTTAGTGCATTTTTTCACTCCACACCAAGTATTTCATCAGTAAATATTTGGTGTACAGCCAATGTTGTATATGCCCACACACACTTTTCTTAGCTTAGACAGATAGCTTTTTTTTAAAAAAAAAAAAAAAAAAAAAGGAGAACTTGGTGAAATTCAGGCAACTGGCAACCTGTCTCTCACTTCAAAACTGAAGTGCATGCTTCCAACATTTCTCTGTGTTAGTCTCTTTCTGTGATAGTATATAACCAGGATTTGAGAGTTTTACGTGAAAACCAGAGCCAACAGAAGAAATGCTTAAATATTTTAATCCTTCAAATACTGCATTGATTTTTGTCTGTGAAGTTCAATAGAGCAACAGTATCCAACAGAATTTTTTTTGTTTTAATAGGAATATATCAAAAACAGGGAGCATATCCAAGATTCTGAAAAGATAAGAACTATGAGAGACTTCCATCTAACTGTTCTTTGATTATCTTGATTAGGAATTGAGCCCCTCCTGTGGGGCTTTTATGCTCAAATTCCTATTCACAGAAACCAGGATGCTGACAGAGTCCTGATTACACCGAAGATTCTAATTGTCATCACCAACCACACCTGAGGATTCTGTTCAGGAAATTCTGCCATTGGCCAGAGAGCTGCATTTAAGCTCTGGAGTTAGTCTTGGCCCTTTCCTAAGCAGCTTTGCAGACGTGCTGTACCTTGTGGTTTAGATTTCTGCCTTGACACTACAGACTGGAGATCAGTGGGCTATTAGCTGACCAGATATACTATACTCTTCTTCATTGCGCATGGTGAGCCTGTGCTCTGCCTCCCTTATAGTCACCATGAGTTTCTGGCTTGCTTTTCCTTCTGGAGCAGACTGTTCTCACTGCTCCCTGGCAAGCTGAATCTCACACCAAAACAGACTTAGGCTGTACCTCAGACAGGAAGAAACTTCATTCTTCCCCCCTTCTGGTGCATGGTCTCTTTGCTGCAATGAGGTCAATTTCATGCTAATATCCAATTGTAAACTGATGAATTTAACGCTGAACAAAGCAGGCTGCAATAACATCAGCTGTCAACAGATCTTATGGCTCCTGCCTTGTCTCACTGCAGCTAAGTTTTTTTCAGTTTATTCTGCTGGTTTAGATTTGGTCTTATTATTTATAGGGAGAATTTTATTCCAGTATGTGTACGCCAGGTCAGACCAGGTAGCACAAATTGATAAAGGCATCATAAGAAACAAAGCTGGCACAAACACCATTCTGTTCTCTGGCCAAACCAAGATCAAATTTATATTGCTAGATAGCTTGGCAGTCTCATACAAATCAAGCTTTAATGAACAACTTCAGATTTTATGCTGCCACAAAAATGCTGTATTTTCACCCTTTGTAATTCAATTGCAAAAGAAGATGCAACCATACCTCTCGTGTCAAAGTGATGTGTCAACACAAAGACTACCTGTGGTTAAATCCATTCTTTATCAAGTAGGACTATATCTTCCTCAACTGTGAACATTCAAAACTTCACATTTACAATTGCTATAGAACTAATTGTATTGATGATTGAAAATTTTGCAGCACAATTAAAAACAAGAATTTCTCACAAGATGTATTGCATTTACCATCCATATAAATATGAAGTATATTTGTTAATCAAATTCATTATTTGATTATGGGGATCAGTCCTTGAATTTACTTGACCTGTGTCCAGAAGCATGCGAATCTATATAAATGAATCTTGCAGTTACTGAGTCTTACGTTCTAGAATTTGTACCTGATATTTCTCAGTATTGAAATAAAAACAGTAGCAGGAAAAATGAGATTTTAGAGAAATGCCTTCAACCTTTAGTTCGTGACAATGGAGTATTCCCTCAAAATTTCTAAATTAAAATGGACTGTGAACAAAAAAAAAAAAGCAGTAGAAATGTAGGATGCTTCATTAATTAAGGAAGAACTGGTTGATTAATTAAGACTCGTGTTTCTATGTTAAAATTTACGCATCATAGTGAACAAATTCTGGAGACAGAATGTCTTCATAAATAACCATTGGAGGCCATCCCCCAGAAACTGGAAAGAGACACCGCATTCTCTTTTGGAGTTTATAGTTTTTTTTGTCTATGTTCTTCTGACTAACCTTGTATCTTCAGTGATTCCTCTCACCAAGGTGTCCTACTGTACAGAATAGACTTAAAGCAGGTTATTCTTGACTGTCTCTTTGAATGTTGGGTAGGGAAGGCCAATACCTTTCCCCAGCTTGTCCTTTCCTTTTCAGTCTGTTCTCTCTCTCTTTCTCCTGCTCTCGGTGCTCAGATTTTGAGATCTAAAAAAAAAAATCTTTGTAACAGGACCACAAGTGTTTCACCAATACATACTGAACTGCCTGCTGAGCCAAGAATAACATAGCTGACTTTTTCCTAAGTTTCACTAAAAACTGTTAACTAAATCCCACCATGCACCATAGGAAAGCCAGTAGAAACATTACAAAAACTGTAATTATGAGAGAGTCCTTTTAAGAAGACCGCTAAACAAAAAATGTCACAGAAAACCCACATGAAGCTAAATAACTTCCAATCAGAAGCCGCTCCTACAGAATTGCAGTCTAACTCCTGGGCAGTGTGCTGGACATTTTTATGTAGGTCACTCCAGATGTGACACCACCTATTTAATTCCACAGAAATAACAAAGAACACAAGAAATGCTATTTAATAGAACAAATTCTCAGCCACAAATCCCTATTTTTCAACGCAATCCCCACCATTAGCTGTGCATTTTCACTGGTGATGAAAATTTTCCTGCACGGAGAAGTACAGTTCCACGCGTTGCTTCACACACTCTTTCATGTCAGACACCATTTTGTCTGCCCCCTGCTGCCATCCGTCATACAGCAGCGAAATGTAACTACTGTTGAGAAGGCTTAACCCCTACTGCCTTATCACCAACATCTGCCTCTGACATTGCAAGCCAACATCATAAAATAGAGGGCATTACTTTCAAAGCAGCCCTTGTAAATAGTAGAACATTGACCCAAGTTGCCAAAGATATGTCTTACAATGAGCAGGAAATGCACAACTGCCTTGTTCTCCTGCTTTGGTTTCTTTTAATCATTCAGTGGAGATGGAAAGGGGGAGAACTAACCTGCATCTCTGCACACTTGAATGATCAGGCAAAGACCAAGGTGCACAAATCACTAAAAAGTAATGCCTCCTACTGATTTCCGTAAGAACTACAGCAGATACAAAGACACTATTTGATAGAGAGAATTCTCAGCTACAAATCCTTATCTTTCAATATAGTCACCACTATTAGCTATGCATTTTCACCAGCAACAAACTGGAACGTGCATGCCAAGTCTGTAAAAATCTACACCAGTGGTGGTGGCTCACTGTTACTGTCACTCCCTGCTGAAATGCACCCCTCACTGTTCACATCAACTGTTCAGTCAGCAAGCATTGATGAATGTTAATGAGTGCTTTACTCAGAGGAATTAAATTCCACAACTTCACCTCATACGCACTTCCATTTCAGACTACCCCTCTACTGTCATTTGTCACATGGCAACTTCACATAGCAAGATATTGTCTGGGAAGTTCAACGTCTACTGCCATACCACCAACATCCACCCCTGATCTTGTGGGTCAGCATAAAACAGGAGGAGATACTTTCCGATACTCAGCTGAGGACTGTGTTTTATCAGCCAGCTGTAAAATCCTCCTAAGAGGTCAAATATGGCTCCTTGCTTCCTACTATTTTATTTCCCTTTTGCACTCCTCAGCATCCTGGAAGGAAATCAAGGTGGCAATCCAGACTATCACACAAAATGAGACTATGAAATGTACTTCACAGCTTAACATGCTATATATTTCAATTGTCATCCAAAGCAGATGTAAGGCTAATATCCCATTTACTAAGCAGTTCAGTTACAGTGTCAGATTTCTTTCAACAGTTTGTCCCTTCCCATCCTCTTATTCTGTACATGCAGTAAATAAAGGAAGTAGGAATGTCCAAGATTTTTCTAGCTTAATAAAACTGAACATTAACATTAATATTCTGTGCCAGTCCAAGTCAGCCAGCTCAAATTCCTGCTGCAAGCTTGAAGGATGCAAAATGTTTTGGGAAAAAAGCCACGCACACACCTCACACCTACAATATCAGAAACAGAGGGGTAGGAGATTCCTTCTATGGGAACTCAGAGGTATTCCACGAAGAACAAAAACATCCTTTTGATAATTGACAAGTATTACAGATTCCCTGTTCAATCTTAAAAGCAACTCGATAGCATGCTGACTAAAAATAGAACATGCTAATTGTCCTCTTCTTAGAAAATCAGTCTCTTCAGTATGACATTCTGGCTTAAACCACACCAAGTACTATGCCGTGGTGTCAAATTATAAAGCACTGCTGCCATCTGCAGGGCTTTATCCTAAGCATGTTTTTGAACTGGGTAAAGCTTCCAGAAAATATTCTCTGGAAACTTCTTCCTCCAGCATCACAGTGGGGCCAGTACGCTGCATGTCATCACAATTGCTCTTTCATTTGCACCACCCTCACTTGGTGAAAAAAGGCTAAATAAGGTGAAATAAACTATTCAAAAGTAAACTGTGTTTAAATACGGCAATTTCACAACTGCCCTTCTTGTTAGCTTATTTCTAGGACTACAAAATTAACTACTAGCCTATTATAAAATTTTGAAAACCTGATAAAATATATTTTGACTTCTGTTCCATAAAGAGAGTTCTGATCGTCTTTTATCCAAAAAACATTCCTGCCCCCAGTTTGATACTAGTTTTATATTTGCAGGAAACAAGTCTATGAGAACAAAAATATTATCAAATGTGCTTTCTTTAAAATAAGCACAAATTATCTAGAATCTGGGTAGTGGAAGAGAAAAAGTCCCAGAAAGATGGTTTAGTATTTAATACAGATAGGTTAAGTGATCCAATCTCTGCCAGTGGTGGAACACGGATCCATATGCACCAAAACAAACAAGATATGTTGGCTGGAAAAAGTTAAGGATGTGATCATGTGAAGGCAGAAGGAAAGAAAAGAAATAGATAATACCCAGAATGACAGATGGGCTGAGCAACAGGGGTGTAAATCAGGTTATCTAGTGCTAAAGGTACATGTAAAATCTGTGTGTCAGATGTAAATCCTTCAGATACTACAGGAGAAAGACTTGTTCTACCATCAAACACACAGGCCGTTAGGACTAACCAGTTAATAAAAAAAACTCAGGAATACAAATGTAGCTCCGGGAGCTAGACACACTAGATCAAGCGTCATGATTCTTCAGACCTTTTGATTACCTGGATCTGTATGTTCTGTTGTCAGAGATACTCCAGGGATTTCTTACTTAAAATTATTGAGTTCAAATATCAGGATGAGTACACGTTTCTGATGTCTTTACATCTTAAACTTATGAAGAAAGTAAAATAGCTAGGGCAAGCACACTCCTTTCTTGCCTTTCTTTCACGTAGAAGTCCTTGTTGCTGAAGTCCTGCTTCTTCTAGCCTGAACAATAGCACTGGAGATGCAGAAGAACGACTGACTTAAGAGTTTTGACTTTTCTTTTGTATCTAACAGGTTGTTTCTCTCTCTTTCAGCCTCACGTTGATTTATTTATTTTTTAAGAACAGGTTCTTACTGTACCCTACATTCAGCATGAGATCACTTTAACAAAAAAAGTATATAATCGCCTATTTAGGGCAGGCAGAAATAACGTCTCTCTGCATGAACTTAAAGTTAGAAAGCCATTATCACCTTCCAATTTCATTTATTTGGTAATTGCTTCTCAATTTGGTTTTGCTTCTCAAAAAGTCTAAAAGCCTAATTTCATAAACAGCATTAACAGCAGCTGATGGCTGACAAACCTTTGTAGCTTTACATACATTACCAAAAGCATACCAAAAGCTTTGTTTCCCTGAATGTAACTGTAAGGAACAGCGGCAAATCCAAGCAAGCTTCTATAGATTGAACTTCAGCAAAAAAATATGGTTCTGCAAAATTTTCATCACCTGCTGAGCTGACCATGGCTTTTCCACTGCTATGCTTGCACCATAAAGCATCTAAGCTAGCAAATTCCAAAGACCTACACAGGGTCCTCAAGGATCCTGCAATGGTGGTGTCTCTGAATACAAAGCACAGCTAATCTGCAACTCACTGTACATAATTAATAACTGCACTGCTAGTCCAAGGATGATCAGATTGTTCCCATATCCATGTTCCTTCTCCCATAACCCTGAGTTTCTCTATGTTTTCTTCCCTGCATTCCATGCTGCTCTCTGCCCAATTCTATACATTCAGCGCTCTCCAAGAAGTTTGAGAGACGCTGTGGGGCATCTCACTTCTACTCTGCAGAATTTTGCTTAAGGCTTTCATTATATTCTTTAATAATTGTAAAGCAATTAAAGCATCATCCATTTTCCAACCCAACAGTCTAGAAAACTCAAAATGTTAAGTGGTTTGTTAGGATAAAAACCTCTTGTTCTCTTTTGCAGTAATTCTTAATTAAAAAGGGGAAAAAAAAAAACAAAAAAAAAACAACAGAAGCACAGTGCAAGTCAGGTCAGAGAATCCAAACAGCTGGAGAATCTGAGCTCTGTATTTTAAGATCTCAGATTACTTACTAATCATTTCCTTCATAAAAATGAAACCACATTTTTACTATGCATACAGTCTGTGCAAGCTATCAACAAAAAATCTCTCTGAATTCTGGAACTGGGAAAACTACATAAAAACTACTGCCAACCTATTTCAAGCAAGATTGAAGATATTGGGCAAATTTCCCAACTTTTCAATTGCTTAAATAACATCACATTGTCTCAAAGTAGCGTTATTTACAACATTGTTTTCAAATGACAATGTCTGCAGCTAAAAATTAGTTTTAGTCACTTTCCTGTCAGCTAGAAAAAGCATCTCATCAGTAAACTCAATTAGTTATGCAAGTTATAGGCGTGAATTAATGAGCTTAAGATAGTTTCCAGTAAACAGATATTAATATTATGGTAACATACCTGATACAACTTGCACTTTTTCAGCAGAATTCAAGTTAATTCTATCAGCCACATTCATAGCAAAACAAAACAAAACACAAAATAAACACACAAACAGCTCTTTATTAACTGGGACACTACTACCCAAGTCTTTCAACAGAATGAGCTTCCACTCATGACTCCACTCTACTCCAACATATAAC